AAAAAAAAAAACAAGTACTTTTCTATAGATGTAGTGTAAAACATGGATATTTTGGAATATTCATATTTCAAAAATGCCATTTCTAAAAATGATGAAACTTTATGTATGAGCTAAGTCTTAACAAGACGCTCATGTTGATAAAGGTTCAGGTCGAAATTTGAAGATATGATTTTGCTTCAAAACTAACTTCCTACAGGAAAAATCAACTAAAAATTCGATATCTCAGTCAAATCTCAATAAGAGTACGAACTCTTTTATGAATAAAGCGTAGGATAACGTCAGCTGGTGTGTCTTATCATTTCTTTTCTCGTGACTATGATTGATTGAAAATTTATCATATAGATTATCCAATATTAAAATAGTTTCTTTTTTTTTCCTTTATTAAATTTTTAAATCAAATCTATTTACTAATACATATAAAACTTTTTTCTATTATCCAATCTTCATCGAAACAGATGTTACTAAATGTTTTGAATACAAAAAAAAAAAAAGATCACTTCGTTAGAGTTGCACATATGTATTTGTCTATCATGGCTGTTTTGTCGTTGTATGATTGTTTTCATACTCTTTTTTTTTTGAATCGTCTAATTAATTAATTTTAATTTTAGATATATTATTTCTTCCCATTCCCTTATATTTAATTTTCCATTTAAAATAAATATGACGAGCAATAATCATTCATCAGCTACTGGTCAACCAGCACGAATATGTCAATTTAAAATGGTTCTATTAGGTGAATCAGCTGTTGGTAAATCATCCTTGGTACTTCGTTTTGTTAAAGGAAAATTTCATGAATATGAAGTATCAACTATAGGTGCAGCATTTCTTACACAAACTGTATCTATTGGTGATATAACAGTTAAACTTGAATTATGGGATACAGCGGGACAAGAAAGGTAAATTAAATTGATTTTCTTTTTCTTTTTTTTTATTGTCTTTCATTGTTAGATATCAATCATTAGCTCCAATGTATTATCGTGGTGCTCAAGCTGCAATTGTTGTTTATGATATAACAAATGCAGATACATTTAGTCGAGCTAAAGTATGGGTTAAAGAATTACAACGTCAAGCAACATCAAATATTATTATTGCTTTAGCTGGTAATAAAGTTGATTTAGCTACTACTACACGACAAGTTGAAATTGCTGATGCTCAAACATATGCAGAAGAAAATGGTTTAATATTTATGGAAACATCAGCTAAAACATCAATGAATGTTAATGATATATTTATGGTCATAGCAAGAAAATTACCAAAAACTCAAGATACATCAAATCGAAGTGGTGGACTAGAGCATGGTAATGAAAGTCAATCAGTTACAGGTGGATGTTGTGGTAGCAAGTAAATGGACTTTCTTTTGTCGGGTGTCTTTTTATTTTCTAATTCCTTTATGAACAAAAAAAGACGCTCTTCACGAACAAATTGAATTTGTCAAAAATAAAAAATTTGAAACATATATCTTTAATTTTTTCTTTTTTTGTTTAACTTCTCTTGTCTTGTATTGCTGTACATTTTTTTTGTTGTCTTTTTATTTGCTTCTGTCCTTTTTCTTTTTTCGAATATTTAAAGAAAAAAATCAACAAACGTAACTTCTGTATTATATATATACATCAGCTAGAGATTTCGAATACAGACAATCACTTATGTTTGTATGCAATAATATGAAATACTATAAAACAAACGTACATCTTTTTGTGAAAAAAAAAGAAAACAAATAAAAACAAAACCATATTATTTTATATTGTAGACCGAAATATGAATATATCAATATTTAAACTTCTTTGTTCATTGTTTCTTGTTCTATTTATTACAATTATTGAATATAGACATGGTTCATTTACACTTTCAGGAGCTTTAACTGATTTTATACTTTGTGTAATAATAGCTTATTCAAATATTGTTTTTTTTACTTGTTATAATGACATTTGTTTTAAGTGGTTCATTTGTTACACGTTATAAATTTGATATAAAACAATCAAAAATTAATGACAAATGATCATCAAATACAAACAAAAAAAATATATATATAAAAAAACTGCACGTGATCATATTCAAGTATTATGTAATGGTTCAATAGAATGTCTTTATGCAATAGGTTATTGTTGGAAAAGAAATTATTCTGGTCTTTCACTACCAATTGATAATAAATATGAATCGTCTATTTATTCAATTGGTTTTATTTTTACAATTGGTTGTTGCTGTGGTGATACATTAGATAAATTTAAATTCTTCATATATAAGAACTGTTTCGAAAATTCTAAAACAATTATAAAAATTCATCATTTTTTGTATTCGATAGAAGCAAACTTTGGTTTTTTTTTGTAATTTCGTCAGATTATTGTACTTTTTTAGTACTAAATAATTACAAAGTTTCATATCGATAGCTTTTACTATAGATAAGAAACTCTAACAACATTACAATGCACTATTTTAGCAATTTTCTAATTACTTAAGTTGCTATTTTTAAAGCAAAGTAACTTTTCGAAATAAAAAAAAAACGCATATCAATTTGTCAACGTTGTTCTATTCCGTTTTAATATCGTCCAATGTTATTGTATTCCTATCCTCTTAATACTACTTTTAATACACCCTAGATTTATTCTATAGACTAAACTTCGGTTAGTTATGCAACAAAATATTTTAGTTCAATTCGAAAAATTTAGAAGTGTCTAAATTATACTTTTTGCAATTCTATGTTTGGTTTTTATATTCGCATAATGTTATCACTAATCGCTTTGAATATTTACATGGTATGCATGTATAGTTTAATCACCATCTATGTTCTTAAGACTATCCCTCATAATTTCATTCTATAGATTTAATGTTGTTGTTTTTTTGAAAGAAAATGTGAGAATGTAGGGCTTCATAGAGTCCTTTTTTTAAAGTCTTACTTTTTAAATGAAGAAAAGCGCTAAAAAGTTCAATGTATTGAAGGACTCTCAAAAAATTGCCATTTATTTATAGAAGTGCTTGGTTATATATAGTAATATTGCTTAATTCAAAAAGGGACTCCATCATGCTCGACATACTCTTTGAAACAAAAGGTTAAGTGTATAGAATGAAGACTCATGGAGAATCATGATTTGCAAGATCAAAAAACAAAAACTGAGAAAAAAACGAAAATCATCAAAAATTTTGACAAAAGACTAAGTATCAAATAAAAAATCATGTTGTTTATGAAAGGTTAGGTATCAAGCTATCTTCCCATACATATATCTCGATTTCAATCTTTCTGATAAACATTGATCTTTTTTTGAGGGTGGGCTTAATGTACCGATATTAATTCGAGTGATGAGTAACATATTCATTTCTCTGTATGCCAACTTGTGTAACATCATGTGCCGAATTTCTATAGATCATATCTATATCACTTAATTAAAAAAATGGTCAACTAAATTCAATTCATGAGTTGAGTTGTCTCACACTGTTCGAACATGTTTGTATTGCATTTTAACAACTCAAGTAATTAGAAAATTATATAAAATAGTGCATTATAGTGTTGGTACAATTTCTCATCTATAGTAAAACCTACCCTAGAGAATATACTGAGTTAAGGGTACCCGAAAAAGTACCCTGTTACCAGTATGTCACAGGAACTTTTGGGTACCAAAGTACTTATAGGTACTTTCAAGTACCTAAGTGGTACTTTGGCAGGTACCCTCCTACAAAATGTATAGTAACTGGGTATTTGAAGATACTGATCAGATACTCAATTAGATACTATTGTACAGTATTTCTAGGTACCCTGCTACCAAAATTTCAGTATGTTCAGGATCGAACCTGACCTTTCACCTTTTGCATTTTTTTTCTCAAAGCGATTCATTACATTTCTTTTGATTTTATTATATTTAATTTTTTCAATTCCGAACTCTACAGGTCAAATGTCGAGATCTGACCAAACTTGAGTTGGTCGAGTATCCATGAGACCACCTCAGAATAGTCCGCTCTTAATCTACGATCAAGATCGGCAAGTTCTCGACTAAGGAATAGTCAAGAAAGAGTGAAGAAATAATCTAGAAAAAATTAGTATGAAAACAGATTAATTTCTTCTATTTTGCTCTATTGTTTATACGGAGCTGTGGGCGAAAAAGAAAACGGTGAATGAACAGTCGCTACGCAGAATACAATAAATGTAGGGTACCCTGTAGAGTTTTCCTCAGTAAAATTACAGATGCGGGTATCCATACCAGTACTTGCTCAGTGAGCGTACTTTTATGCGTACCTTTTGCAGTACCTACATCAGTATAATTACTGAGAATTTTCGAAGTACCCATATTAGATACCCTGCTAAGGATTTCTCAGTACATGGGTACCCTGAACTCAGTACTTTCTCTAAGATATCGATATGAAACTTTTGTAGTTGTTTAGTACTAAGAAAGTACAATAATCTACTCAAGTTAAAAAAAAAAAAACTTTTATGGAATACAAAAATGATGACTTTTTAAAATTGTTTGAAAACATTTCAAATATTCATTATTTAAAATTAATTTTCTATTATAGCATCAGAACTTGGTTTTGTTCTGGCTCAAAATAATCCACGTTTATTAACAAATCCATTTCGAATAGTTCCTGTTGGTACAAATGATGCTATATCATTGGTTGGATGTTTATTTAGTCTATTTGCCGGCCAGATTATATGATTAATACATGGACGATATATATTCAATTATTTCGCTATTGTACATTATTTGGTCTTCAAGGTTCTTCAATTGATTCACTATTAGGTGCAACTTTACAATTTAGTGGTTATGATAGAGAACGTAATGTTACAGTAAAAATATTTGGACCATCAATTGAATAAATCTCTGGTCGAAATATATTATCAAATAATTAAGTAAATCTCATATCATCATTTCTTACATCGATTATTGCTATTTGGATTTTACCAAGTATTATGGTTTGATATTTTAGGTTTAGTTAAAAGAATTTAATTTTTTGTTTTTGTCATTTTTGTATTGTAAAAAAAGGAATTATTAATCATAAGTAACAATAATTAACGATTTATTTGATAAGATGAATAGAATATTGTCATTTCAAATGGATCTTTATGTAATGAGAGAAATTCTATTGACGTGGTTGTCAATTAGAAACATGTAATTTTTTTTCAGTTACATTCAAAAAAATGTGAAAATAAGTAACTGTCAATCAGTAAAATAAAAATTTCTATTATTGAATTTCTCGAATGGAACTTATTCTACGACATTTATGCATGAAAGAAAAAGATAAAAATAGATACATCATTCAGATAGAAAAGATTAGAATAAGATCTGTTTTATGTTACTAAAATAATCAACCGAACACCATGCATTTAGAGTATAGCTTATGCTGTTGACTATCAAGAAAATTTTTTGTTTTTGTTTTCAATAAAATTTGAAATTTCTTGTTTGATACATATTTGTATTCAAATACAATCATATCTTTTACATTCCTTTGAAAAAAAATGTGCGCACAATTGGTGTCATGTTTCGCGAATGAAAACTGAATATGAAGCGAAATCATCGAGATATAAAAGTAATAAAATAATACAATAGAGAAAAACTTCAACAGTGTTTTTCTAACGAAAGTAGCAGAACAAATAAGTCTTTCAGTATTTTCTCAATATCTCTGCCATTTCTTATCGTTTCGGACTAAACTTTTCTTCAACAGATGCAACCTGAAATTGTCTGCAAGATCAGAAAAAAACGTCTGTTAACAAAATAGGACTATTGTGACATTGTATTGCTATCAAATCTCAATTATAAATTCAGAACATAATTTTTATGCCATATATGAAGAACAGATTTCGCGACGTTTGTTGCATAGACTAGACGTAAATACACTGTTGCATCAGTGTCTACAAAACAATACAATTTGCTTTTTTTTATCCAAATCTGCTTATGAGAAAAAAAGTTGAAAATATATCCAAATTTAAGGCCGAATTTTAAGTAATCTCGTTTTTGTTTACTGAACGGAAGGCTGTCAAAAAACAACTTGTACCATTTTGAAGGTGCTGATGAGATGCATCGAATGAGTTCTATGATTGTATACTTATAGGTGAAAGGAAAAGTATTAGGCCTATCAAAACAATCTACTTACATCCAGTCTCTGGTTCATTGAGAAAATCATTGAATATGACTATGAAATTGAGCTCTTCAAGCTCTACAAAATGGACAGTAAGATTTTTTCATATTGCAGCACCCGGACATAAAAATATGAAAAAAATCAATTTAATGCGTGATAGTTGTTAGTAATTTATTGTCACAATAGTTGTCGAATAAATTTTTGTACTTACTATGTTTTCAATCCATCCTTTCCTATGATTTTGTAAAGAATTTCGTGCTATATCTTTTGGAAGAAATTATTCTACCATACCCATTAATAATCAAGAATTCGTAGAAATAGAAGAACAATTTTTAAACACAAACTTCAACTTCATAAAGTAAATTAATTTTTTTTTTTTATTTATTTCAACTTCTGTCTCATTCTTCATCTATGGATACTTGTATAAAAACGAAAGAAAACAATTTCACATTAATTCAATTATTATTTTGGAATTGAGCTTCATTCTAAGTATAAAATCATTTTTAAAAATTAGGTTGGTTCAGTTTCAGAAAAAGAAAATCACGAACAATCTTATCAAATTCAGATTCCAGAAATCTGTAAGTTTTTGTTTGAAATTAAAGGAATACATAGCAATTTTCTTTCGAAGAACAATGAAAGATCCATTCCGTTAAGCATTTTTCTCTTTGTCATATTAACTTGATAACGATAATATTTTCTTAGAAATCATATCAAATCAAAAAGGAAAGATAATCATTAAAAACTTCTATCTGTGGTTATTTCACGATCGTTTATTGAAATATACAAAGAAAAAAAAAAGAAGAAGAGAAAAGTCAATTTAAAATCCAATATAAACTAATTAATAGTTACTTTCTATTAAAAAGCGAACGATGCTCTTTTCTCCTTCGAGTTCTTTGAGTAATTCATGACCTGAGTTAACATGCAATATTTACATGAATGATTTTTCTGCTTTGTGTGTAAAGTGACTAGGATGAGACAAGAAACAAAAGACTTATAATCATGTTCTCTATCAAACTATTACTGAGTCATCGAAAGCTTTTGTATTGTTTGCATCCTTTTCAGCGCATTGAAATAATCATTTCCATCTTCATGTTCTTTTCTTCTTATTTCAATTTCATGGTTAAGTCATTTATTACGTATTGAATAGCTTGATTTACTCATATCAACATCAATACCCTTCATGCTAATATCTATGTTATAGGATGACGATTTTTACGACTTCTTCAATAGAGAAAAAGAATATTTTACTTTTAGCTCATTTCTATCCAAAGAAAATATCAACTATTTTCATCTTTGCTCTAAGAGAAAGGAGAGCAGCTATTTATTTACCAAGAAATATGATAAATACCAATCACGATATTAAACATTAGACAAAAGTTTTGAAAGCGAATGAATGACGTACGAATATTTACTACAATAGAATCCTAACAAGACGACGAAACAATATGTTTCTTATTGGCTAGTTGATAACGACGATTTCTATATGTTCACGACAGAAGACGACATATTCAAAATGGTATTCTTCAAAATCTCGATCAGCTTAGAAGAATTAGTTTCTATTCATTAAAGAATTCATAAAACAATCATATCTTCAAAGTAGGAAGGAAAAGATATACGTTTATGGATATATTTTTGCAAAGTTTGTGCAGTAACAAATAAGTGACAAGACATTTCGGTTTCTTAGATATAAAGAAACGGTGTATAGAAGTACAAGTAACGCGTGAAGACAAACAACTACAACAATGGAATTCTAACTACACCATCAAACGATAGATCACCGACTGTGTTTTGTTCATCGATTGTCTTCAAACCTTTGTTGTTTTCTGTTCAACAATTGGAAAACGGGTGCTATTGAAAGAGAATGGATAGACTTGGTTTCGTTTTGCTCTAACGTTCGTTGGCAAATTAATCAACGTCGACCAAACTTGTTCGCGGAATCGTTTCGAGGATGCGCAGTAACGATAGAATGAACTCTAACAAAATGCAAAAAACAAGACATGTGTGTGTATGAATAAGTGTTAAACCTAACTCACGGAAAAAGCACCATAAAAGTAAATGGTAGAAAAGGTAGACGCTACTTGTTCTTGAGCAATACGAGAGGTGGTCTTAGCAAAACCAGTCCTGAGAAGAACGTATAATTGAATGATTCCATAAGGGGTTACGAATATAATGACAATGACGATATTGTACAGTGACATTCGAATCATTTGTCGAACGAGAATGGAGAGAGTACGCCGTTGTTGTACGTTGATCGAGTGTATATTGTGGTAGGTGAGCAAACCGAAGACGGATATCACTGAAACTGGAATGACGACATAAAGGCAAAGATTGATAAAATAGAGTTGATATTGGTTATAGGCCGCATTCATTGTGTTACATGTGCTAGCTCCCGTAGCTGTCACTATAAGATCTTGGTAGAAAAAGAAGGGCAACGAATGAAGAAAGCCAAAGGTAAGAATTCCAACCACGATACAGCGTGCACATCTGATGTTGCTTTTTTGACGTAGAGAGGCCGATGAAGAGGAGCAAATAAAAGTGTCAATTGACTGCACAGCGAGTAGACTGAATGAAATAATATTGTTCGCGGTAATCCAGCACCGTCGTAATTTACACCACGGTCGATTGATGAGAGCCCAATCGATCTGAAAACCTGCAGCCAGAATACGTGTGCCGAGTCCAACGATCAGAGCACTTAGATCAAGTACGGCTTTGACAAGCATATAGAGTGAACAAGGATTATGCTTGTAGTGACCTATAGAGAAGAAGGTGATTACGTTGAGAAAATTACCGAGAATGCCAGTGACGAAGAAGAAAAATCCGGATGACTGGCTCAGATAACGCGATACAACTTGCAGTTCAGTGATAAATGAAGGACTGTTACTAGTGGTGCTATTTGATACCATGTGAATAAGTGCTTTGAATTCTGTAATCAAGAATCTAGAAAAACAGAGAATAGACATGATTACATTATATAAGTTCTAGTATACTTTACTGTTTCACCAACGTCATCTATGGAAAAGTAGCCTCCTTCTTCTCTATAAAAAAAAAGACACAGATCTTGCCAAGTCATGGCTGAAGAAAGACAGCATGTTGCTTCAGCAGTTCATTTCACTTACACATTGCTAATAGAAGACTTGTGCAGAGGCATAAGTGAATCTTTTTGCAGTTAAAAAAGCTATCTTCTCATAATGACGATATGAGGAGTTGAAAAGTATTCAAAAATAGATTATGTCCTATAGTAAGTAGTTTTAGACAGATTGAGCTAATGGAAATGTAAAGAACACTATCAACAGAGATTATAATAATAACGCACGTAAAAAAACGCTTTTTTCTCCCTATTCACTATTTGTACATGACATCTGTAACGCTCCCTGTTTTCGTATTATATGATCAATATTTTTGATAATTTTTGAAAATTTTTCATCCAAATCTGTGAAACTAACATCATCATTTAATACAAAACAAAATAGCAAAAGAAGAAACGCATTCTCAGCTTTTTCGCATAGATTTTTTATTATTTTAGTCTACATTAAATAAGAGAATATAGAAAACGCAATAACTAATTAATGCTGAAGAAAGATAACAAAGTTGATTGAATAAAGTAAATTCTCAAATAAACATATGATTAACTTTCGCCTTTTCTGATAGATCAAAGAGAGTAATACTACACCTTATAGTAGGTATCGTACAACCACGAAAATAGGTTAAATATCTTTACTTTTTTGTAACATTAAACATATC